TCTGGAAGAGATTTCTGTTTAGCAATAAGGTCTTTTGCGTACTTTGTAATGTTATACTGTGTAATTTCGTGTTGTCTTCTATCCGTATCGTGTGTAATATAGTTTATATCAATAGTTTATATCTATTTTATTAAATATAAATAACGCTGATTAAAATTTGGTATAATTAGTTTATATTTTTACTTTCACATAAAGTGAAGTTTCACATTTATTTACCAGCTCCCGGTCTATCTTCGTGCGTCATCAGGCGCTGGCCGATATACGATAAAACTTTACACCTTGGACCCCGCATTTGCATAGTTTCTGCCACCTGAATCTAACACATAAGTAACAAGGTTTCATTAGCAGCTTTATTGTTACTTGCTTATTAATGTACTCTCTTTGATGTTAGCATCGACAGATTACAATCATTACAATAGGTATAATATAGAGTATTATTAAGTTTATATAAGTCTAGACGGCAATCCTTAATAAGTGTACACAACATGATTACAGTGTTGATATCACAAAAAATAAAAAAAAAACAATCACAACAAATTAAAAAAAAACGATATAAAAATAATAATGATAATAATATGATAATGCTGCTGTGACTGAAGTTAGGAAAATTTTGCATCTATAATAATATTGGATACATTTTTTTTATATTGAGAGAAACTTGGGTTAAATATGTCTAGATCGGTATTATTGCGAGTATATTCATTGTAAGTCCGGCACATTCTCACCACTGGGTTATAAAATGAAGTGTTATTTTTAAAAATTTGTATTGCAAAAGTATTAGGACGACGAGATCTATGTCTTATATTGATGCTAAGCGACGAGAGCAGACTCGGTGCATCGATAGCAGAGTGAAGTACTTTGTGGAGTATCAAAAGATCATACCTTTCGCGCCGTGATTGCAAAGAGAGCAGCTTCCCACAGGTACTATCGCCGACATCTGCTTCTAGTATGCATCGATATTTGCATAAACATTTCTCCTGCAGCGTGTACTACGCCCCGCCCACTCACGCACCACTATCAATGACAATCAACTTTCAGTGAGAGCCGTGTACAAAGATGCGTACTCGAATGAACACTTTTTTGTTTATTTGTTTTTAGTTAAAATCTGCATTTGTCAACGTATCTTATTATAATAAAAGACTCTGATTCTTGCTTCCATGAATCCTTGGCTTCGATTCGACTTCGATTATTGCCTCTACGGAACCTTTGTTTTTTAAGCTGGACTGATATATTGTGTATTGTGTTATTGTATTGCTGCTTAGTAAAAAGAATGGCGCGCAATTTAACAAGAGAAGAAAGAATTTGAATATTAGTATTAAGTAAACAACCAAGAAATATTTCGCTTCATGTGAGCTTCCCATAGGTACTTCCCTTAAGTATGCATCGATATTTGCATAAACATTTCTCCTGCAGCGTTTACTACGTCCCGCCCACTCACGCACCATTATCAATGACAATCAACTTTCAGTGAGAGCCGTGTACAAAGATGAGTACTCGAATGAACACTTTTTGTTTATTTGTTTTTAGTTAAAATCTGCATTTGTCAACGTATCTTATTATAATATAAGACTGATTCTTGCTTCCATGAATCCTTGGCTTCGATTCGACTTCGATTATTGCCTCTACGGAACCTCTGCTTTTTAAACTGGACTGATATATTGTGTGTTGTGTTATTGTATTGCTGCTTCATAAAAAAATAATGCCGCGCAATTTAACAAGAGAAGAAAGAATTTGAATATTAGTATTAAGTGAACAACCAAGAAATATTTCGCAGATTTCAACTACATCTTTCGGTAAGTCGTTAAAATATTAAGTTTTACATATATTTCATATTATTGAGATTAATTAAAAAGAAAAACATTCCCTTTTTATTACGTCTTAGACTTAAGTCATAATGTCTACAATTATAGATAGATTAATCTTACAATAAAAACAAATCAGTTATATATGTCGCATCAACTTTACGAAGATCGTTTGATTTAGTTTCTTTTATTTTAATTGCTAGTTACTCGATTACTTAATTACTCGATTATAGAGAGAGCGTGATCATCGACACTTTTAATTTTATTAGAATGGTGACACTGACTTTGACAGTTCGTTAACAAAAAAAAATTTGCCGCCATTTTGGCACACATTCTGTTTCCGATCGCCGAGGAGTATGGACATCCGACGACATCACGCTCATCTCGTTATATTTTCGCATGAAAAGTGATAAAATGGAACAAATCCACATTGGTATACACGCCTGCAGTGTTATTTTAAAGATAGTCCTCCGATATGGACGATCTATTTAGGCTTCGTAATAGCCCCTTCTGACTACCCGCCGACATATATAATATCACAAAATACTTATAATCATCTATAGAGCATTATTTTAAAATAAGCAATGCAAATTTATTTTTATGCAGTTACTGCAATATGTAACAACTTCATTAATTTCCAATTGTGTCGTAAGTAATAGGTATGCCGTGGTTTCAACTTGAATAAATCTTATCATTAAAAAAACAATAATGTAGACATATGTTTAAATGGTTAATTTTGTTACATTTAATTTAAATACAAGAATTCTATTTCAATTTTGCAAAGAAATAGTATGCCGCTGGATGCAACGAAATTTCGCAGAGTCGTCAATTGAAGACCATCCTCGAGCATATCCACCGATATATTTGGTAGTATAATAATTAGCAGTACTGATGGTACAGTCCAACAGTATATAAACAGGATATAATACTACATTAATTTAAATGATATTGTTATTAATATTAAATATTAAAAATTGATGAGAATTTATTTTTTTGTTATTTTATATTGCTTACTACTATATTATTTTTAGTACAGATGATAATAATTTATAATACATAATTTGTGTTTTATATGATGATAAATTAATAAAAATAATTTTAACTACTGACCACTTTGGTAAATGTTATTTCTTGAGTAGGGTTACGTTGATGTTTGATTATTTTCTGCAATACCAATAAGAATTGTATTTATTTTAGAATAACATTAATAATTTTACATCAAAATGGCAAATTATCTGTTAAGTTGTATGTAGAGTGACCATTAAATTATTTTATCAAAGGTAATTAAAAGTTTTATTATTATATAAAAATATATTATAAATTATTATATCAAAAAATATATTTAATCTTTAGTGACGGGTTCGATGCATGGGCGAATTAATAAAAAGGCTGACTAAGTTTGAGAATTGATTTTATTTTATGGTAATAAAGTAAGGGTAAAGAAAAAACTGTAACCAACAAAAAAATTATATAAAAACAGTTCGTATGTTTACCTAAATATAAAATAACAATACCTAAATAGAACAAATACATACCCCTTTTAGGTTTCCTGTAATATAAAAACATGGATGATAGTTCAAGATATAATAAATAAATAAATACTTTTTGATTAACAATTTCTGTTTTAATTATAACTTCATTATTATAAAATTATATATTTAAATTTATACGATTACAATAACATGTTCACACCAGATGATTTTTTTACGAACTGATATTCATAAAGAGTATATTGGATTATTCAAAATTTCAAATTACGAAAGGTGAATAATAAAAAGAAATTATGTTGAAGATCAGAGACAAAAAGTTTGCGTGCTGAAACCTAGGATAAAACGAACGGTGGTACAGCACACCGTTACACTAGTCTGTTTCATGTTTATAATTTGATTTAGTAAAATTAAAATATTTCATGTTACGTCTTATATTCCTACATAAAAGTCATTTAGAAAAATAGATATAAACGAAAAATATACCCCTCAGGTAAAAATGTATAAACATACACCTCAGGTGGGATTTGAACCTGCGTTTCTGCCAAGTCAAGGCTGCAGCCAGGGCATGGTAAATGACAACTGCGTTTTTCTTCTTGTAAAAATAGGCCTATAACGGCAAAGCAGCTGATTCAGACATCTTTACTGATATTTAGAACGGATAAATTGTAAACATCTTTTTATTTTGAAAACTAAAGAAAATAATGTAACGCCGTAATTTTATGATTACGAAATAAATAAAAAAAATTGTGTTTAATATTTTTTAACACTACCTACAAACAAGGAGGATAAACAAACAAAAATTAGTCATCATCCCTATTATACCTCATTACCTTTTATTTATTAATTATACCCCAGGAAGTGATAACGCTGTTTATCAGAGCAGCGTACGCAACAAATGAATCTCGAGAATTATTAATTGTTTAACAATACTACACGAAATCGTAAGTAAGCAACGGCCGCTCTAGCTTGCTCTGGCTTCGTAGCAGTGATAGACAGGAACCAAAAATTTTACGTGCTTAAACGAGACAGATGATCAATTAAACAGGTGACATTTTAACGCTAGCGGCAATGTCCGTGATTGTACGTGGTTGAGTTCTAAAACTATTGGCCCGATTTTATGTTTTTTTTTAACTTCCGGGAAGCTACATCAAACGCAAATGAAATGGAATAATTTAGTGTATAGTGTTATTTTTGTTACTAGTGATTCACAATTCGGACGTTGCCTTCGTAGTCCCGTATGGTCTAGTGGCTAGGATACCTGGCTTTCACCCAGGAGGCTCGGGTTCGATTCCCGGTACGGGAATTTTTTTTTATTATTTTCTTTCGCATTTTAGACTACTCTAACAGAAGAAATATATACAACTAGCTGTTTTCCCGCGACTTCGTCCTCCTAAGTTAAGCCTGCGTTACCTGCGTATGATGTTTGATGAATTAGGTAAACCTAGTGAAATTTTCCAAACTATATTTTCCATATCTAAAACAACATTGTAATATTATAAACATTTAAACGCTTGTTTGTTTTGAATAGGCTCCGAAACTGTTACACTGAATTTCAAAGTTCTTTTTCCTACGTTAGAGAGTAGCTACAATTAGTAAAATTAAAATTAAGATAAGTAGATGACATACAGTTTAATTAGTTTAGGCAGGTGAAGTCGTGGGAAAACAGCTAGTAAAGCACAATATGAGATAATTCACAAATAAGAAACTGTTATACGCAAATGATTAATATTTATTCATTTATCAATGACAAATACTTTCGTATCTAATCAATTTCAATAAAAAATATTTTTATTTGAATATTGTACGTTTCTGTACACTCCGAGATATCTACCAATCAATATTGTTTACGCAAATACTTGTACTTGATAGGTAAGTCCGTCTCCTCTGCTGCTCTTCAATTTGATATTAACGAAGGTAGAACCGACTCCACCAGATGTAATGGTAGCTTTGGCCTTGCTTCTTTTCATATCTATGGCTGATATACCCTATGACAAAGAAACATCATTGCAAAATTGGATTAAAAAATAAAAGTTATTAGTTCAGATACTAGAAGTCAGAAGTCTTTAACGTCTAAACGTAATTCTTAATTTAAATCACAAATATAAACTACAACGGTTACCACGGCACTCCACTATTTCAACATTAATGTCAAGTTAGCGAAAGGCAGCGTCTTGTGGTGCCCTATCTTTCTCCTTACTAAACAAGTTATCTACACGAAGATAAACATAAATATACATAAAGATAAATCATAAAACAAAAACGTACCTTTATAGCTCTCGGTATGGTACTATTGTCGTTGTAGAAGACATTCTTCGTTCGAACCTTGAGTGGTATACTTGATAAATTCACTGATTCTACATATACCAATGTCCCATTGATACTAGAACCAGCTTGCAAGTCATAGGTGCTGACAGCCACGAACAAAACGCAAAAGAAAAAGGCTGAATACGTAATAGCGCCCATTTTTTTTTAAATATTTACTGACTATAACGTGTTAATATATAACGTCAACGTTAGAGTTGTTATGTTCGGTGAATGCACACAACTGTTCAATTTATTGTCTCTCAACGATAAAAAACTCGAGATAAAGTCATTTTGCACTCTGATATGAATCATTCATTGACTTCATCTTATTTGTTCTATAGAAATTACGGATAAGGGATTATCATTATATATCAATAGTTTATCCTTCGATAAGTTATCTATTGAATTCTTAAACTATGAGGGTGTGATGATAAATAGCTAGCCTAGCAATGGAAAAACTTGAATTAGTGTGCTAATAGTATATATAATTTATTTTTCGACATAGTCTCCTTGAAGCGCTATGCACTTCATCCATCTATGCTCTAAAGCCTTGATGCCATCCCTGAAGTGGTTTTCTTCAAGCCCTTCAAAATAACTGTCCACGGCAGACATCACCTCGCTATTATTTTCAATTTTTTGAGCTGAGGGAATAGATGAAAATCAGATGGTGCCATATCAGGAGAATAAGCTGGGTGTGGTAGCAAATCATAATTTAATTCTTAGAATTTCGCCATCGCAGTGATGCACGTGTGAACGCGCGCATTATCCTGATTTAAGATATTTTTTTTTTAGCCAGGTCGAGTCTTTTTTCACGAATACACACTTGTAATTTATCCAGTAGATCAGCATAACATTCGCCATTTATGTTTTGTGGGAGGTAATCAATCATCAAAATACCCTTCGAATCCCAAAATACTGACGCCATAACTTTCCCCGCTGATTTCACGGCTTTTGCTTTCTTTGGAGCAGGGGATCCTTTTCCCGTCCATTGTTTAGACTGAAATTTTGATTCAGATATATAGTGGTGAACCCAAGTCTCGTCTGTAGTAACAAACCATCGCAGTAAATCAGTTGTATTGCTCTTAAAGTGGTCCAAACATTCTTGTGAAATTTGCATACGAACGCGTTTTTGGTCAACTGTAAGCAATCGCGGCACCCACCTTGCGGATAATTTTTTCATACATAATTCTTGAGTCAAAATGTAATGCGCTCATTCTTTAGAGATGCCTACAGTATCAGCTATCTCGGAAAGTTTCAATCGTTGGTCAGTTAAAACTGCATCATGAATTTTGATCACAATTTCTGGAGTAGTGGTAGTGGTAGTAGTGGTACGGCCACGTTTAAATTCAGCCACCCAATTTTTTCTGGTCGCATATGAAGGAGCATTTTCTCCCAAAGCATCCTTCATCTTCGAAAAAATCTCTCCACCTTTTTATCCTTTTATATGCAAAAACTTTATCACAGCTCGTAGCTCAATTTTATCCATTTTGCAGAAAAAACAAAAGAATGCTTTTTGAAATGTCAATATTTAAAAGAAAAACTATACGATCGATTTGAAATTTGGAACACTGGTAGCTAATGAACCAATGAGCAAAATACTAAGCAGATTATATATCGTTATTATACAAAATATGGTTTGGGCTAGCTATTTATCATCCCGCCCTCGTACTATAATGCTTAGATACGAGGGTCAAACTGAAAGTTCTTAGAACTGGCCACTTATAAACAATATAATAAAAAAATAATTCTAAAATTGAAAATATAACTCTTTGCCAATATTACTGAGTATATATTTCATTCATTTGTCATTTGTTTTACGATTTGGCGGCAAATTGAAAATTGTCTGTGTCACGTCATCATGAATTTAACACGAGAAAATTTTCGTGCAATGATTTTTTATGACTTTCGATGTCATTTAAGTCAACAAGAAAGTTATGATAGACTACGATTGGCCTTTCACGATGAAGCCCCATCTCGTGCGACTGTTTACAACTGGTTTAATGAGTTTAAACGTGGTCGCACTAATCTCACTGATGATTTACGTGAGGGACGGCCTTCTACGGCGACGACTGAAGATAACATCTGTGTTGTGCGGCGTATGATAGAGACTGACAAAAGAGTGACCTATCAACAGATTCGGACAAGCTTAGGCATCGGTATGAGTCAAGTGCAAAAAATCCTCCACGAACATTTAGCGGTCAGGAAGCTTTGCGCCCGGTGGATACCTCATAATTTGACTGAGGCTCAAAAACTCCATCGTGTGGATTGGTGTCGTAAAATGATTGAAAGATTTAACGGAGGTGACTCAAATGCTGTGTTCGACATACTAACAGGTGACGAAAGCTGGATTTACTGTTATGATCCTAAAACCAAAAGACAATCTGCTCAGTGGGTGTTTCCTTTCGAGGAGTTGCCAACTAAAGTGAAGAGAGATCGAAGTGCGGGAAAAAAAATGGTGGCCTCGTTCTTTGGAAGGATAGGTCATTTTGCAACAATTGTGTTAGAGGATCAAAAAACAGTTTCTGCAGAATGGTACACTACCAATTGTTTGCCACTTGTCTTGGAAAAAGTTCGAGAGAAACGACCTCGCAGTAGGATCCTCCTTCACCACGACAACGCCTCGTCGCACACCGCCAAGCGAACGATCGACTATTTGGCGACATCAAACGTTGAATTACTGGGTCACCCGCCGTATAGCCCCGACCTCGCGCCTTGTGATTTTTATTTATTTCCAAAAATTAAAGAAAACTTAAAGGAAAGCGGTTTATGAATGCTGAAGAAGCGGTGGCTGCGTATCGCGATGCCATTGAAGAGACCCCTAAGGACGAGTGGGCAAAGTGCTTTTCCCAGTGGTTCCATCGCATGCAGCGGTGTATTGACGTGAATGGACAATATTTTGAAAAGATATAATAAAACTAATAACTGGCTAATGTAATCAGTTTTTGATTTTCTAAGAACTTCAGTTTGACCCTCGTATAACTAGTAAAAAGTATATTTGTATGCATAATGGTATTGACATTTTAAAATTGTTTAAATTATTGTGATAATATAAATAAAATTAAAGAGAAATAAATATATATATCCAGCTGCTTCATCCGTATTGAAAATAATTTCCCGAAGGAATCATGATGAAATAGTGGCATAACTAGTGGCCGCCAGCGACTTTGTCCGCGTTTTCCATTATTTCTTCGCTCCTAATAGTTGCAGCGTGAGGTTATAGAGCCTAAAGCCTTCCTCGATAAATGGTCTATTCAACACAATAATATTTTTTCTATTCGAACCAGTAGTTCCTGAGATTAGCGCGTTCAAACAAACAAACAAACTCTTCAGCTTTATAATATTCGTATAGATTTACTATAGAGGATTAAAAAGAATCCAATATAATATTATAAACAAAAATTGTATCTATAAATAAAGAGACTAGATTATAAATTGATAATATTTTAATAGGACATACAAAAAATCGGAATTACATATACAAAACACATACCCCATAAACAATTATGGTATGTTGAACTTCAATCAACAATACGTGTTGAAAGGCATTGACTTTCAGTCGCGACTATTTCAAAACTCTGAAAATAATTGAATTTCTCACTTTACTTGCTTATTTTACTTATTGCAGAAAAACTGTAAATTCAAAAACCTATAAAAATTGTAAGATAAATAAATAAATCAATATAGCATTCAAATCGATTATCTTTACCTAAATCTTTAAAAAAATACTAAAGCTAATGAATGTGTATTCCGTTATTGTCTCTCTTTTTATGTTGTATCTATAGGTGCAGTACATCAATCCAATATTGCATCTACACTATATCTCTGTTAAGGTAATGCTATAATAGTATCATTGCCACAATTTGTGCCCATAAGTTTCAACTCTCACAGCACATCAGAGATTCGTTAAAGGCTCGCAATGGCATACCCCTCCTAAAAAATAACGAATGTGCTCGCAATCCATTTCATTATTATACGTTGAGAAGGGACGAAAAAAGTACGCGGTCACATCTGCTACTAATGTCCAACTTTTGATAAAGCCATTGCCGACGGATTGGTCGAGCGACATTGGAACACTTTTTCATGTTCCCCAAATGCTGAGTTCGGAGTTTTTACTGCGAGGGATTCGAGTATTAAAATACATTTCATGTTCCCCCTTACCGAATAACTGGAATTATTTTGGTTGTTAGCACCCAGAGTTTGTAAATTGATTAATTACAGATTAATCTTTATTTTTGGTAGTTTTTTCTTCGTATTATTCAATCTCAATCAGTGATTAGAACTTTGAGTACTTTTGAAACCATATTCTATCAAAGTAAACGAGTAATGCAAATAAAAAATTAGATGGTCCTTCGAGCTGGATCCTCACACTGACATAATTTAATATTTTTATTTTACCAACAATTTCACAAGATGAATCTAAGCGAACGCTTCCAGACGAAGCGATTTAACGAATAACCTGTTAGTAACTCGCAGCGCGAGTTTGATTTATGGCTAGACTAAACGCGGGTTGGAAAATTTCTAACAATGCATCATTTATTTAAGTCAGGTAAACGCCGCTTGTTTTCCAATGCTGTCGCGATGATTTAGTTTTGTATTCAAAACAATGAAGCTTGAAGGCGTGTAATTCAGGCTCTTACCTTACTTCTGGCCTTTGTTGTGATTGTGAATTATAGATTTAGCCATGTTATACAACTAAAATAATTCAGAATGAGAGTGATCCTGAAACAAAATAAATAAGAAGAGTGGGTAATTTTTGTTAACTTTTTTTTTACCGACTACAAAGTTTTAAAGTTATATTCGAATTTTATTTTTTTTATATATTTTCTTTATTATTTTGAGTTTTGTATCAAAATAATTGAAAACATTCTTTAAAATCACATAACATATATACGACACATTTATATCATCGAAGAAAACTAAGATACTGATAGAAAATATAAAAAGTTACAAATCATAAAAAAAAAATGTGAAAAATGTACTCCGTCGTCTGATCCAAAATTGCAAGTACCTTGTACGGTACACATACTTACCGCTGCGTCGTTATTTTTATTTTACGAGGTGCCAACATGGGCGGCTGTTGTGTGCTCGGAAACTTTTTAGACCCGCTGCATGTTATGGTTTTAAACTGAACCTGTACTGTCGCAGGCCTTAGAGGCTTAATTTTAACTCCCGCTAAAATGTTGTACTGACTGAGTCTACTTTCGCATAGCTTTATTTCATTTACGCTGGCCATTTCTTTAATGCACTATGTTCTTGTTACGATTTGTGTTTGTTAAAGTTTTTATTTTA